TGATTTACAAATTATGTTTTTATTGACCGAGCACCAAGTTGTTTTTTTCAAAGAATGTCGACTTGAAAAAAGTTATTATACAACTGACACCGATGAAGGAAAAAATATTAAATTATGACAAAATTTCTCTTCCAAATATAATAGCCTACGATTAATATATCCCTCGACAAAAAGGAATTTCCTACGCAAATACGCCTTCATTGTTCACACGTAAACGGCACGGCAGAGAAATATGAAAGCATGTCACGCGATCCTGCTTATTATTTAAGTAGACGGTTATCGTTATCATTACGGTTTAAACAAATATCTTGTACAAATTTAACTGCAAATTATGGCAAATCTGTCATAAATTTTAGCAAACAACATTGTTTAAATTGAAATTGTTGCCTGTTTCTGAAACTAAATGCCATCTCCTAAACCGGACTTTGGTTATATTTGTGCAATCCCGGAGCAAATTTACCCGTTCTGGAAGAGACACTTTTTACGTGATCCTTACTTGCTTTGGAGTTCTCCCATAGCATAACACATAGTGGCCAAACACAATTGATTATCTATCTCACGAAATGCCGTATATGCGGCACACGCGGCGGGCACTCAAACTATTTTACCACTTAAGTATACAACTTAAGTAAAGAAGACATAGCATGGCTGATTAATTATGCTTTACTAGCATAAAAATATTAAAGTTTCACAAAAATGTGCAAAGTCAGGTAATGGCAATAGTAAAATGCAATGATCCAATGTTTAAGGCCGAGAATCTCAAAATAGCGTCAAAGTAATTAAAAATATGCGCAAATATCAGATGTAATATTTCGAAAAACGTTCATAAACATTTAAAATAGGAGTAAGTCTGCGGGGCATTAACGTCATCAGCTTGTCGATATTTATTTTTGCAATGTCGGTATTGAGAATATAATCCAATTTTTTTCCATAGAATAAGCCTTTTTGCCTTCAGACCAATATCTTTTGACAATTGCAAAGATATTTTCGAGTAGATTAAGGTCAGAGCTGTTTTTTGGGGTAAAAATAGATTGAAGGTCACACGCTGAGAAGTTGGATATAGTTTAAATGTCAGATTACACTGGTACATGTGACCAGATTCATAACTCTTTTGAACGGTGAACTGGAACGTTATCATTTAAAATAATTTTGTCCATTTTGCGCTGACTAACGCTGTTGTAAGCAAAGACAACTTTAACGATATTGACGAACACCCTGCTGTTAATGCTTTCAATAGTGGACCTCCAAATTGGCCGCTCTCCGAAATGTATGGCCATTCAAAACATTAATCGCCGGCAGTTGTTGAATGTTGGTCTCGGCGCAGTGTGTTCTTTCGGAACACTTTTCCGTATATGACAGTCTGCGTCGCCTTAACAGGTTTATCCAAAAGCAACACCTCATCGCAATAGTAAATACTCTTCCCAAATGAGGGCCGGCATTCAATATAATTTTAGAAAAACAAAAGGTTCTCTAATAATTCTTCTTAAAAACGGCATTATTGTGGCCTTTTCCTGATGCAGTTTTAATTTCTGTAATCTTTGCCTAATTATCCTCATAGAGAACATTGGCAGATGTTGCTTCTGAATAGTCTTAATAGTCAGATAATTATATTGTTGTGTGTGCGGCGAATAAAATCGTCGTCCTACTTACTCGTGGACCCTTATCGTCCAATCTGCTTGTTTCTGGGTACGGTTCTGCCATTAGTAATGCGCCAAAGGGTGTCCATATTTACAGTAGACCCGTTAACATGCAATAGTTCGACGTATGTGGAAGACTTATACTCTTTCGCTAATCGGAATTGACTCCAGTTTTGAAACCGATTATTGTGTAGTTTATTTTGAAGCCATTTCAGTCAGGATAGGAAGCCGGCTTATTAACGAGTTACGTTCTGACTCCTAGCAAAACGCTTCTATTGTAAAAACTGACTACTTAAGTAGTATGCCTTTTTATCATTGATTTTTATTGTAAAAACTGACAACTTAAGTAGTATGCCTTTTTATCATTGATTTTGACAACTTTATAAATTCAAATATATTTTATGGAAAACATGCACGAAAAAATTATTTGCTACTTAAGTAGTATGCCTTTTTATAATTGATTTTGACTGCCTTTATAAATTAAAATATATTTCACAGAAAACATGGACGAAAAAATTGTTTCTTGTACATGTATGATAGCAAATTACGCCTTCTTTAAATTTTGGAAAACATGCACGAAAAAATTTATTTCTTGTACTCTTTTGGTAAAAATTACAACATGCACGAGAAAATTATTTTTTGTACTTGCTTGATAGCAAATTACACGTTCTTTACATTGTATACTCAATGAAAGGGAAGCTTTCCGTTTTAAATAAGTTGCTAATTATGAGCTTTTTTACGATTTTTAGGTCTTCAT